GCAGGGTCTACACTCCCCCACACCCTCTCACACATCCCATAAACCCCACACACCCACACCCTGCCCCACCACACACCCACGTATACACAACCCCCTAACACCCCCACACCCCAACATACACCCCCCACACACACCCCTAATATACAAGACTAAGAATTTATTTTGAGTTATTATGCAGTCCCCTCTATATGCAGTACACAAATACATATCATGGCAAAATTATTTTTTGAAATAAAATTAAAATATGTACTAGTAGGTGTTTGACTTTTTGTGTATGATTTGGGGGGTTTTCTGGTTCTAAGATGGCAACGCCCCCTCCCCCCAGAAATACTCTTTGGGGAGAGGGGGCAAGGGGAGAGACTTCCAGCGGCAAAGTCCAGGGGCTTGGGAGAAAAGGGGGGGCACACAACTTCCAGTCCTAAGATGGCAATGAAGGGGCAGGGCAACTGTCAAAGGGCGGGGCTACCCATCTGGCCCTCGACAGCTCACCAAAACCTGTTAAGCAGCACTCCACCCAAAATAATTGCCTGCTCCTACATTACAGTAATTCAGTATACTCAGTGAATGCCAGGGTTTTGGGCACCTCTTTTTCAGGACATTGCTCTGTAAGTACAAGTTCTTTCTTTAAATACTTTCTAGATATGATCAGAGGAACATTCTTTTTCTCTATTACATTCTTAGCCTATTGCAAGGCAAAAGGGCTTTTCTTCCAAGTATGTGACAGAGTCTTCTGGCATTTCCCAATGTTTTTTTCAGGAGCTTAGCTTTTTAAGAGGCAAATGAACTGCTAGGTCCTTGGCCATTTAGATATTTTACACCTACTTTGAAAGTAAAGAATTGACATCTCTGCAGGAGATGTTTACTTGAAATTCTCTCACGCTAACAATGTTTGGCTTTTTACTTCTTAATTTTTTTATCTTTATTTATTAACAAATCCAAGTTATCGAGTAACAAATCTAACATTTAAAGATCTATCCCAGCTCCTAAAATATACACAAAAACATATTTATCTTCCATTAATAGTACTATCTTAACCCAAATCAGTGTCCATAGGAGCCTTATGTTCTTTTCTTCCTTTTGGTCTTCCCTCCTTAATTTTAATTGTGTAATCTATATTAATGTGTGTTTAATTTGTTCATCCTGCTGAAGTCTACTACCTAGCAAACTGGAAGCCATTTTGTTTAATATACCAGGAATATATTTGTATACATGAAAAGTGAGAGAGTACTGCTGCGCTCTGCAGGAGCAGTAATACCCTTGTACTGTAATAATAGCATCTAAACATACTAATGTAATTATATTGCATTAGTATTATTTGAACAGGTTAATATTGCAAATTCTGCTATAAGTAAAGGTACTGATGTGCATGGGAAGATGTCTTCGGACAATACAGCCTAATATGACTGCTGTTGGAATGGTACTGCTATGAAGTATTTTCTGTACAAAGTAATCTCTATAACTGCACAGTCAGCCATCTCTGTATTCATATAAATAAGCCTCAGATTCATGTCTTCTTGGGCAGTGTTCAGAAGGGCCATGTTACTTCTCAGCATCATATTAACTGACCAAGCTGTATTCCTCTCTAGTAACCTCCTGTTTCTAGATGGGCAGTTGGTGGCTTTTCCCATGCTTTGTTCTATAACCTGTCATATTAACTTTTTCTTTAACGGGAAAAGTCTTGCATTAGAAAACAAACACATGTACTAACAATAGCCCTAAATGTCTAGACAGAGGCCTTTGCATAACTGAAGTGTGTGTGTATGTGTGTGTATAGGTGCGCAGACAGAGAGGGAAAGTATAGGGTATCTCACTTACTTGACGAATGCCACAGGTGGCTAAATATGTACATATATATGCATGAGATCACCTCCAGAATCCAAAGGAAGTTGGTACACAGGACTGAGTCTAATACTGCTGCCCCCATGGTGTGTGGGCCCTGGAAAGTGATGGGGCTGTCAGGTACTGCCCCCCCCATCAGCAGCGCTGCTGCAGACAGAGAGGGGAGCAGGGCAGTATGGTGTGCTGTGCCCGATGCCCCTGTACTTCCAGGACTCTCATTTTAGCTCTCACCGGCCAGGCAGGACCAGCCTTTGAAATCCAGGACTGTCCCAGTTAAACTGGGATGTCAGGTCACCATACCTGAGCAAAACCTTTCCCCGGCCAGCAATGCCCTGGTGTTGCATACTATATTAGAGCCCTCTGTGCTTAGATCATTAGACCGTAGGGGCTTGATTAGACCATGTGTTCCTTCACTTTGATTTATGTTCATGCCTCTAGTGTAGAAGTAACAACTATTTATAGCTAAGATTAAAATTTTGTGTTGTTTTTCTTTTGTGGTCACTGACAGACCAGTCAGTGCATTTAGGGGCAAAAACACATCAAGCAGGATAACCTTAGGAAGCTTCTAGTTAGCTTTTTTGGGGCTGGTGGGAAGAGGTAAGGAAAGTAATTCTTTATTCTTATTGCTTCCAGGCCTTTTTCACAAGGTTTGAGATTCATCCCTTGTCCCACTCCTTTAGCAGACATTGGAACATTGCAGAAATGTTCAGGTTAATTACCGCTGCCTGCATGGGGATGGGTTTTACTCCACCCTTGTTATACTCCGCCCTGACTGTAAATGAAGTTCAGGTTTGGAATAAATGGATTCCAAGGGTAAAAATCCTGGAACTAGCTGATTCTGAGCCCTCACACACTATTATTTTGGAATTACCTTTTCATTAATAAATCAAAACCCAAGCATGGTGATGATTGTTTTTGACTAAGCGCCTGTCTAAGGCCATCAGAGATAAAGAACCATCTCTTACAACATCACAATATAATCTGGCAGTGATTTTGTAGGCAGTTATTTACACCTGTTTAATGACAGGACAAATAAAAGCCTCTGCCTTTGCTGGCACAAAAAAATTGTACAACCCTGGCACCCTACAGCTGACATACTGAAGAAAGGCCTGATATACTGCTGCTTAATGCCAACCTAATGCTTCCTTTTAAATAAGTCAAAATATTGTGAAAACAGTCAAGAGAAACCAGAGCCCCACAGAGTTTGACAGGCTGATTTTAACTCCCATGTCTTTAAATTAGTTGTTGATTTGAAGGTTAGTAATGCATTCAGTCTAAACAAGAGTCTAAATGATTGCAACACATTTAAATCTGTGACAGATTACATAAGTTAACTGATATTTTCCATTTAGAAAATGTGTGTATTTTAAACTCTTCAGAAGGTAAGGTCAGATGAATTTAGCAAGTTTGTAGAGTAATGGCTTGCGTGTCGTGTCGTCCAGTAAACCCAACAGCAGAGAAACTGTGTCACAATTGCATCTCTGCTCAGATACATGCAGTGTGCTGTTTGCTCTTAGTAGTCATAATCATTTAAAATATTTTCAGAATGTTCCAAGAATGTCCTGGTCTTGATAAGGGCTCTTGGTAAGCCCATTCTTGGTTATGGCATGCCCTATATGCATGGCCACAAGAAGCTAGATGCTCATGTTGTTACATTCTGCCAATACTCCTGATGCTGATGAAGTCACAATGGTTATGGGGTCAAGCCAGCAATCTTCCCTAATTGTTTTGTCTCCTTGATGATTCTGTAGCTCAAGACAGCTCAGCTGGTTTGGGAACCCAACCAGGAAAAAAAAGAGAGTTGAAATACAGCTGCAACCAATTTGGTATTGGGTTTGGAAGAGAGATGTCTGAACTAATATACTGTAAGCCTGCTTAGCTCCTGAAGGGAGCTGATGCACCATTTACCCACTTACCAGTTTACAAGAAATAGGTTGTAATTTGTGGACATTTTGGAGCAGCTAAGAAGATAGCTTGCTCTGAGGGACAATGGTTCTTTCTTGTAAAATCAAGAGTGAGTAGAAATCTTGTCTCTGTCTGAATGATCATTTTGAGTTAAAATGTTGCTAAGAACACAAGCAACATTGCAGTTTTGTAATTAGTTTGTTTTTGGTCAGTGTGGAATGTGGTTTGGTCTTTGCTGCAAAATGCAAAAGGAATGGCTCAAATCAAATTCAGCTTTCAGTTCACGTAGCTCAAAACTCCCTGTAGTTTTATGCGGAAAAGGTGCAGAGTAAGCTTTGTTTACTGTTTTACAGAGTGAATTTCCATCATTGGAAATTCTTAGTTTGGAGTCCCTATGTCATTTGGATATAAGCAAGGAAACTGTTACCAGCCTCTGCTATTTCCAGTCAGAAAAGACTTATTCATTCAGTAACTGGTTGTCCCTGTACTGCTCCCCATCTCTGAGCTAGTATAGAGTCATGGGAGAGCCACAACGGTCAAATGGCTCACCTAAATGAGGAGGTAGTATCCGTATAATAAACACGTTCTATCAGTTACACCATGACTGTAATTCTCAAGTACCAAGAGGGGCCAAACTAAATGCTAGTACACCAAATAAAAACTAATAATGAATTTTAAAACGAACCTTCCAAACATGGAAAAGATCAGCATGATGATGTGATCTCATTCAAATGCAAGTTTGTTTTTAATTAAAGCTTCAATAGGGAAATATATTTGTCATACAAAAATAAGTCATACCATATGATAGATTGAGGCTGGGATTGTCTGCTTGAACAGCTTCTTTACAAGATGAGCAAAATCTTAGGGTTGGAAGGTACCTCAAGATTCATTGAGTTCAACCCCCTACACAAATGCAAGAATGCTGCTCCTAAAACTTCCTTGGCAAATGTTTATCCAGCCTCCTCTTGAAAACCTCCAATGATAGAGATTCTGCAACTTCTCAAGGCAGTCTTGTTCCACTCGTCTGTTAACAAGGAACTGAGAGGAGAGAGGGAGAAGTAGTGAATGTCCCTCAGTGCATCTATATGCAGCTCAGATATGACAAGCCACAGAGCCAAATGAAAGGAATGTGGACTCTTGCCTGCTGGGTAGCTGTCAAAGAAAAACTTAGTCTGACCAATCTAGTATTTATAACTAAATGCTGTGCAGCTGCAAACTCATGGACTTGTACAGCATATTGCCAGCAGAAAATGGTTATAGAAAGTGAATCACCACATCCTCCTGCCCGCAGGGCTCCCTGTGGGTCTGAAAACTTGGGAGTAGGGGAGTGGCAGCAGCGTTAGTTGCTGCTCCTTTGCTGCCAAATTTTTGAACTTGTGGAGAGGCCCCATGGGCTGGATAACATGACCCTGTGTACTAGATTGGGCATGCAGGGTTGGAGCAGCAGAGGGGGTGTGATCCAGGCATGTGGGGCTGGGGGCACATAATTTGGACATGTGGGGTGAGGCTGAGGTCTTGGGAGGTAGGGGATGCAATCTGAGCACACCAGGCCAAGGCAGCGGGGAGCCTGATCTGGACACAGGGGGCAAGCCAAGGCGGTGCAGAGGCCAATCTGGGCATCTGGAACCTTGGGGGTGTGAGGCCTGATCCGGCCCAAAGACTAACCCTTTGCTACTCATCCAACACACAGGGCAAAAAGCTGGAACACCAGTGGTTTAAAGGTTACCTCTACACTGGTTGCAGCGACTCCCTGAATTGCTTTGTAGACATACCCATAATGCTATTTATCTGAGGTTCTCAAAGTGTTTTACAAAAATGCATTAAAGCAGAATGAATGTGAAAACGCAGCCAACACCTGGAGTATGGAAATCCCCTGTATCTGAAGCTGTGAAAATCTGAACCCACCAACACCACAACACCCAGTAGAATTTCTTAATCGAAGGATGGGGTGCTGAGAGTTTGGCCATGTGGATCATGACTTGCTTATGGTTTAACTTTTGTAGTTTTAAATGCAGTGACCCTGTTTCTTACCTGCAGCGTCCTTAAATACACCTTTTTGCTGTGCCCTTCAATTCTACCTCCGATCCTTGAACTGCTCTGCACTTAGTGCAACACAAAGCTTGATCTAATTAGCACCAGGCTCGACCAGGAACTGGGGATCACTAAGATACAAAGATGAGCATAGATGCACCCTTTTTCCCACCCACACTTCAAATGCTGGTAGCAAGGAATAAGCAGCAGAATGGAGTTGCTGTATACTACCAGGAATATTCCCCTGTGTGAAAGAAATTCAGGGCATTTTTATGCATGCTCGCACCACCACAATGGGTGCTTTTAAAAGCACCCAGCTCTCCAGAGCATACAGTTGTATAAGTGGTAAAATGCACGTCAGTGCTGAGAAAATGGTGGTGGCGCAGTTTTGAACTAAAATGCATTGGAGGTGTGTTGGTTCAAAAGCACACCACTGCCATTTTCTGCACGCTGACACACATTTTGCCACTTATGGAACTGTACATGGTGCAGTGCAGTGCATATCAGGTCACGTGTGGAGCTCTGTAAAAAGTAGAAGGAAAGGGACACTAGAACTTGCTTGTGCTTTATTACAAAGAGGGGACACTATAATTTCTTTGTATAGCTGCAGGACTAGACATGGCAAAAGTAGGCATCTCAGCTGAATCTGCAGAATATGAACACAAATAACTGTGTAGATGCTAGCCTACTAGGTGTTTTTGAAATACCTACAACAATAAAGGTAACTTTCATAGGAAAAGTATGGAGTTGCATATGCAAAGTGGATAGCTAAAGATTTGTGCACACAACTACTTATTTTGAAGGCGCAGTTACCTGTTTGCACAGAGGCATGTTTTACCTACATGCTCTAGAGCAGACCTTTGAAAGTTTGACTCAAATAGTTTGCCATTTAGCCGCTGCCTTTTAAACCAGAAAATTAGCACCAGGTACTGCCACACTTGTTGGTTTTAAAGCTGCTTGGCCTGAAAGCAGAGCAGCATGAAAGAGCTGATTACAGTGTGTGTACAATCAACATAATTTTATGAACAGAGCAGCCTTTCATCCATTCAGGAAGGTAATTCAAATTTTAAAAGGAAACACTAATTGTAAAGAAGCTTGATGTATAGATGAACAAACAAAATTACCCTTTTGACCAAAACCATACAGGTCTTTGAGCTTTTAGTAATTGTTTTCTTCTAAAGCTAATTATCATTGGCTTGTGCTGTGCTTAATAATTAACTTATTCATAGAACTTTAACTCACATTTATGTGTCTTCCTTATCCTGTGTTTTAATTCATGCCATTTGTGGTTTGGTTCTCACACCTGCTTTAACATATATTTCATATCACCTTAAAAACATTGCTTTGATCTAAATCTTAATTTTAACCAGGTGACTTCCATTTTTTTAATAATAGCTGTTAAGTGCTTGTGATAAAGTCTGACATCTTGCAGTGAACCAAATAGACTGTAAAGGTTAGAAAGCATGGTAATTCCTATTAAACTTGTATCTAGGTATGCCAAGAAATCCCTGCTTGGCAAGCAGGCTTGAATTTTTCTTTTTAAGAGTTGGTGCCCTCTCTCCTGCTTTGAGTGACAGTAGCTTTTCCTTAAATCAGTGCAGGGTTGGGATAGGTGTGGGTCATGTGCCTCTCGAGTATTTTTTCTAGTCAGACCTTACATCTAAAAACTTACAAGTACTCTCATTTGCTGTGAATTCAGTGAAAACTGAATTTCTGTTAACCAGTAGGGTGTTTTATTGGACAACAGGCCTCCCTCCCAGCTGGAAGTGCCAGGACAACTTTGCACTCTCCTGCCCCCCCCCCCCCCTGGAAGGGCCGGGACAACTTTTCCCCCCCCCCCCCCCCCCCCCCCCCAAAAGCTCCAGTCCCAGGCTACACTTCTAACCCAACCGTCTGCTGAAATAGCTGACAATAAACCACTGAGAAATAGTTTGCTTAATGAGTAACCAAATGGGTACAATTTATTCACTCATCAAAGGCCTTTTGACTTACTGTCTTCTATTATTGATGTGTTTTTCTTACTATGTAGGGTGTACGAATTTGAACATGTCAAAATAATAATTACAAAAACAAAGCCTGGTTTTCTGAGTCACATTAGCAGATTGAAATGTTTTATTTTCTTTTAAAAAGTGCTGTAATTGCATATTTCTTTATCTGCCTTCCTCCCTTCCTCAAATCTTTCATGTGGAGATAAGGGGATAGAGTCCCTTCATAAAGCTTTTAGTTTCAAAGAAAGGCCAATGTGTCCCAGAGCATTTTGAGGGAAGTAACTTGACAAATAACATGTGATTAGGGCTTCTGTTTTCCAGTAACCCCAGTGGTTTGTTGCCCTTCTGTTTCATATGTGCTTTGCCTTCCAAAAGATTTAAAATGAATAGTCACTTGCCGACAGGTGCATATAGACCTGTATATATGTAGGCCCCTACCTGCAAATAGCAGGTAATATGCATTGGATAGACAGAAGTGGTATAGCAGTGTGGGGCAGAGGCAGGAGCTAGAGCCCAAGGTCCTCGTCCTTTGATGGGAATGCCCATCTCACTGAGCCATACTGCCTCTGGCTTGCTGCCCATTGTGGTTTCCCAGTGGGCTAGGTTCCACAGGAGGGGTGGAGGGCTCGATGGCTCTGCCTGGGCTGTGTCCTACTGGTGAGGGTTTTTTGCTGTGAAATAGGAGCAATGGAGGTTCTGGCCCTCTCTGGGTAAGGGGGGCGTAGAATTTGGGTTTCCCAATTCACTGGGCAAGTGCCTTAACCACTAGGATATTGAGCTGAAATATAGAAAGTTCCTCCTGTTCTTTGCTCCCACTTCTCCAGTGGAGTTACAAACCTTCCTGAGGGAAATAGGATCTAAAATCTGCACAAGTAGTCTGAAATTCCCATCTCTGGGTACTACTTACCATCTAAAGGTGGAGTTGGTATTTACACAAGGAGTTATTGCAAAATAACTCCTATGAGTTACATTTGTGCCCTGGCTTGCTTCAAAATAACTTCCCTGTGTAGTGATGGTATCCCCTGTACAGTGATTGATGGTTCGGAGTGATCATGAGAACTTTGGTCAGACTTCACAATTCAGAAATGCTGGCCAGATCCTCCCTACCCCATAAACAGGGCAGATTATAATCCAGTGTAGATAATTGCTCTCCTGTACAGGATATGTACCCTGTTCTGTTTGAGTCATGTCCAGCATCTGCCCTACAACAGGACAGAAATGTGTGCAGGAGAAGAATGTATTCAGGGTTTTTAAATCATTTTTTTCCCTTTGTGCCTCTCCCCTAGGGAAGAAGATGAGTATTCAGAACTGCGATCAGAGCTCAGCCACAGCCAGCATGAGGTCAATGATGATTCACGCAGCATGGACCAGGATCAGACTTCTGTCTCAGTACCAGAGAACCAGTCCACCATGGTTACTGCTGACATGGGTGAGTGAAATTCTGAAGAGAAAGGACGTTTCTGACAAAAGGAAAGCCATCATAGCCTGCAAAATACTGATCACAGTGTGTAGAAGAGAAGTAAAAATAGAAATAATTTAGGCCTTTAATAAATATGAAATAAAATTATTTTTGCAAAATTGACGTTTCTTTTAAATGCTGCTACTGTATTTAAAATGTTACTTATTACCAATTACAGATAAATTTAAGAGGCATTCATAGGAAACAAAGCAAGGATTGCTCTTAAACTTGTTGTTCCAAGCAATGATTTTCAAGATCTATTGCTTTCTGAGAACCATCAACTTATGGATAGATAACATTTTTTTTTCAACGACACCTGACTGCTTTGGGGAGAGTTACAGAATGCTCTTTGTGGCAGGGAGTCTGTTTTTTGAGCTAAGCTCAGGTTAGGAATTTCAGTGCTTTCATACAAAGCTAGTAGAAGGTGCGGATATCATATTTTTAGCAAGGTATGCTCAGTATTAGTGTGCATATATTTTTCTAGGCTTTGGAGATGTCACTGATATCCCATTAGAGAGAGAATATCTAAATCAGTAATACCCCACTGGATCAAATAATGGTCCTATTTACTTAAGCCGGAACAAGGGGTACATCCTTCACTGTAAAATACCTACTTCCCTTTCTCTTATAAGTGTCTAAAATCCATGCCTCTTTGGGCAAAGTACAGTGTGATTAGAGTTGTTTCCTACATACTTTATTGATTTATGCAAAACACCAAATATGTGCTATTCTCATTCAAGTTGGCGACAGCACAATCATTTTTTTAATGGTGGTTATATTTATTTATTTATATGGTGCCCTTCCCAAATAAAGGCTCACAGCAGCTTACAATAAAAGACAAATAGCTTATAAAAATAGAATTAAATATTAAAATAAGAAAGTATAACAAAACTCCTTCCTCCCAAATTCAAGAAAACTTCTACTCCCACTCTACATATGCCCCTCTGGAAGGCAGTTTGTCCTATGGTATACTTGATTAACAAAACTTTTTTTTATTTCATGCTTTCTTTATGCTGTAGTTATCCAGGCATCACTTGGTGTTGCCCTGATCTCTGGCTATGGTCTGTACTTTCTGAATAAAGCTTTCTCAGGATGATGGGTGAATCTTACGTGCCATCCCAAGAAAGAAACAACATTCCTGTTTAAAACACAAAAACTCTGACACAGCTCCTACTATACAATGGGTGGATGGTTCTGTAATTTCATTCCTGCAAATGTTCAATCCCTAGGAAAGTATGCAGTTTATTGAGTCATTGGGTGGTAGTTTGTCCAGTCCTTGAAAAGGAATGTTGAATTGAGAAGGTCTGTGACCCCTCCTTCTTAAATGATACGAGACAGAATAGGATTCATTTTCAGTGGAGTTACACCAGGCATAAATTTGTCCCAAATAGTTGATGTACAGGAGGGCCAACCAAAGTCTGCAGTTACTGAGTGGATATTAAGACCAAAAATGTGGCTTGAAAGCAGAGCTCTGTGTGTGCATTCATGTGCTGGAGGAGGGGGGCATTATGGTTTCAGAGTTGTGGGTTTTATTTTCAATAACTGATATGCTACTTTGTGTACACATGTTTGGATAAGTGTTTGGATGTCACAGGATTGAAAAAATAAAACAAGATGCTTGGGTCCTGTTCTTTCCCCCAGGTGCTGAGGATGTGTATGAGTTCAGCTAGTTTCATTCAACACCAAGGAATTAGGTCAGGGCTGATTTACACGTTCTGCAATCTTGTTGATTCAGAAGGATTACGTGATGTGTAAATCAACACTGAATCAGTCGCTGAGTATTAAAACACTGTTTCTTTTATAATGTGTTTCCTGTTAGTAAATTTAGCCTGTTCCTTAACACAGACATGTCCATGCACATTTGCAACATGAGCAAAAGTTAAACCTTTTTATGCCTTTATATGTTAGTATTAACTGACCTGCTCTTGTTGCTGCTGATCAAAACTTTAGGTTAACAGAACCGTGTCATTGGTATAATCTTTTATTATGATTTGGCTTCTTGCCCTATCTCTGTAATGGATTGTTCCTCTTGTCTTTCCCTAATTTTTAAAGCTCAACTGTATATTTTATTATGTGAAAAATAAACAGCTCTCTACCATTTGCTCATTAAGTAAATTGCATCAGGGGGTGAAAGAGATTCTGTGGATAGGTCCTGCTACCATACATAAGGACCATTATAGGAAATCATTAAAACAGGCATCTTTTTCATTCCTGTTGCTAAATTTTAAATTCTCAACTATCAAGCCATAAACTCTTTGTGAGGCTGTGTTTATTGTGTCAAAACATGCAGTAGATGCTTCCCTATATGTGGTAAGCTGTCACCACTGAACCAGGCCTGTGCATTTCATTAGTGAGGCCTTTTGATTTTTTTTTTTCCCCAAGACAAATGCTACAAAGCAGAATCATACTGAGAGTAAACTGACCTTTGGACACAGTAATCACTGACCTGAGTTGCAGTTTAATAACACAGAAAGCACTAGGCTTCTGAAACAATCATATGAAATGAGAAGGTTTCTGCATGTCATTTTACATCCTAACATGAAATGAATTACCCTTTGTTCAGAAGTATGACAGTTGATCACAAATAAACATGTTGCTTAAAGGAAGTCCTGCATTTCAGCCTCTTGAACAAAGAATTTAATAGGATACTCTCACAATAGTACGGGTATTTACAAGCATTACTCTTATTAAGTCTCTTATCCAGGGTTTTCAAGTCACTTTTTAAAAGATTTTAAAACACTCTGGTAAGGTAAAAAAATATATATATATATAAACTAGAATAGTTCTATATTTTAAGCAACCATAGGCAGTTTTTTTCAAATTCAGATGTCTGATTTAGGCTCCCAAATCCACACGTAAGTGCCTAATTATGAGTTTAGAGCAGTGGTTCCCAATCAGGTTGCCTTGAGATCCTTTCAGGGGTGCCACGGGGTGCCACACAATATTAGCCTTGTTAGGTGTGCAAACAAGATTCACAGGGCAAAATCAGAGATTTTAAATAGGAGTCCATAGTGTTAAAAGCATTTTGTCCTGTTGTGGTCTCAGTTCTTTGCAACAGAAGAAATTGCTCTATTATCTTTCTGTAGTTGAAAATCAAATGAAAAGTAAGCACTAACATTTTCTGAGGAGTGCCTTGAGTCTATCAAAGGATGCCTTGAATCTAAAAAAGGCTGAGGGCCACTGATTTAAAAGCTTAATTTTTAGACACTGAACCCAAAAAATTTGGCTTACTGTCTTTACTTATTTTACTAATAATAAATTTGAAAGACTTTTTGTAATTCAATTTACATTTCTGTGTTTTGGGTGGGGATTTTTTCTTTAATTGGTTCACTCATCGTGGACAACAGTATTTCAATAAGCAGTATTACTTTTTCTGGTACATATATTAATGCAACGCTGGCGTTTAATTTCCCAGCACAGCAGGGGAATATGGAAATACACATAAGCATTGTAACACAGGCACATTAAAAATGATATTTGTTTATAAGGAATTAATCTAATTCCCATATTCTTCCTACACACCCACAGTCTTCTGTCTGTTTGTTTGTATGTTTTTAGTATTGCTTTAAAAGTGAGCCTTATTTTGGTTTATCCATATAATGTTATTTAAGCTTGACTTGATAACAACATGGTGCTGTATGCTGCATTAGTAGAGCAAGCTCAGTGACACACCAACTACACTTACATGTCATGATAAACTGATACATTTAGATATGCTTCTGTACTGCTATAGGCAATAAAATATCAAGAACTAAAATTGTTAATCTGCTCTTCTGTAGCTTGTAAACCCTGTTGTTTGGCTTTAAATTAGCTTCTCTTGGAGATGCAGGTCTCTCCAACATTATTATGAACTCTTATTTTCAGGGAAGAACATTCCCTTAGGTGGAAAACTTAGCATATGACATTTTGTTTGTGAAGGGATTATTTTGTCGACTGGGACAGAATGTGGATACAGGAAGCTATGGAATTGCAGAAGTGCAAGCTAAGCAAATAGATTTCACACTTAAATATTTTTCGTGGTACGTCCTTGACTCAGAAGTGACTTTTATTTATAAAGAGGAATGTGTTTTACAGAATAATTACTTATAGCAGGGTTTTGAGGGAGTAGGAAGTTTTTGGGCATATGGCTTCCTTGGGGGTTTAACACGTATGCAGAATGCAGGATTCTTTTGCCTATCCATAGTTACAATGCCATTGATAAGTTTGTTTTTAACAGGAAGTTGCTTTTGCTAACATTAATTTTTCATTAGCTCCAAGGCTATGCTCTGTTGCAGGCCTATTCCTGGATGAAAAGAACACTTAATTTTTTTTGTGTAAAGCTGGAAAGACTGCATAAGAATAACAACCTACTATTATTGCTACTGCTGTTTAAACGCAAAAGACCCAAATCTCTGTTTCAGTTTTGAGGTAGCAAAAATGTTTGAGCAGCAACGTTAGGTCCTTGTCCTGAGTAAAAAGAAAGTATTATTGGTGCATTGGTGGATAGAATTATTTTAGTGTTCAGGCTGCTTTTTATTTTGTTTTAAGCGTTAATTAGTCCATATTTTTTAAAATGGCTGTCTAAACTGCAGTACCAGTTTTGCACACAGCTATCTGTTTTCCTGTATGCACAAGTGAATTGTAGCAAAGGTAGCCAATTTTGACAAATTGGCTGGATATTAATTAAAAAAGGAGACTAATTTGGATTTTGAATTTAAAATGATTTATTTCATAGTCTGTAGTACCCCTATGCTTCATTTATTGTTAGTCGCCGTCTTGGGCTGAGGTATTTCAGAGTAGCCTAAGTAAGGTAGGCCTCCACCTTCCAGGGAATTTCAGAAGGACTGGAATTCTTTTGTCCAGCCCTTGAAAACTCAAGCCGTAAAGGTTATATCTATTTGGAAAGCTTGACTGTAAATAAGTCCTATTTGGAGCAGTAGTAAAGGAATAACCCATGCACATAAATTGGATACGTGACAGTCTTTTTAATATTAACAGTTCTGTGAAAATAGTACATCATCACAAAATTCAAGACCACCATGTGCTCTACAGTGCAGTAATTTGTTATAGTTTGAAGCTTACAGAATTAATGGCCTAGAAGTGGATATATTCAAGATGCTTTCATAACCGAAGAGTGAGTCTGGCCATATGTGCACATCAGGGACTACTGTTATTTCTCACTGACTTTAATTTGGGGGAGGATATGAAAAGATTGTAAGATTAGCTCACAAGGCATAAGGATTGTTTGGGTATCACAAAACTAAGGAGTTAAATGGATGACACCACAATGACAGTGCTGCCAAAACACTGGAGAAAGGGAGTGATCATCTGATGCTTGTGGGTATGTTCCTATACTAAAGCAGGTTGTTAATGTGATTACAGTGTGGAGCATTGTAAGAATGAGTACTTTTATTGGGTTCCATGAATGTTCCCAGTATCCCTTTCAATAATGCACAGAAAATAAACAGCAGTAGAATTGAAGTATTAGCTTCATAAAGCAATCACTTGGCATGGTTTCTGAAGGTTTTTTTTAAATTTGGCAATGTTCAAGCGCAATCCCCAAAAGGCTTTCCTTTTTAAGAGCTAGTAGATTATAGCATCACTGAGTAAACTGGACAGAAGAGCAGTTTGATTCTGAGGAGGAAAATCTCTGATCAAGCACAAAGAATGATTAAGATAATCTACAGTGACAGGAAAGAGAACAGCAAAAACTAGGCAGTCCAGTTGCACAGAAATGTGGTAACATGTGGTGTGTTTGAAATGATGCCTGCATGCAAAGAAATCATTCTGAAATAAGTGATCTTTCCAAATAAGTGGGTAGCAGGTTTATATGTTAGGTTTTGAGCAATTTGCTATTTGAGAATTCAGGCCTCGGGATATAGTGAGACTGGTTACTCTCCTGTAAAATGCTATTGATCAATATTAGATTGTAGTCTTCTGGTTGGTAAGAGCTGGTGCCTGTCTAACATGGTTTTTCTCTTTCACAGATAACTGCAGTGACTTGAACTCAGAACTGCAGAGAGTGCTGACAGGACTGGAGAATGTAGTCTGTGGGCGGAAGAAGAGCAGTTGTAGTTTGTCTGTAGCAGAAGTGGACAGACACATTGAACAGCTCACCACTGCCAGCGAACATTGCGACCTAGCTATTAAGGTGCAACAGCATTTACTAATCACTGAGTATATCATGTACACATGTGAGATACGTAGTCATATTTTATATTTAAAGCACTCTTCATCTGAGAATCTCAGAGCATTTCAGAAAGACTTGCTGTGCCTCGCAACACCTTTCTGGGATAGATAAATAATATTATGCCTCTGTTACATATGGATAGAAGATGCTAATAGTAGGCCTTGGAATGTGTTTTTCATCCATATATCTAAAAGAATGGATCTCATTTATATTTTACAGATGGAGAAACTAAGGCATAATATCAACTGACTTAGTAAGGGTAGCTGAGCAAACAAGTAATATCTTAAGTCAGATAGCATTCAGTGACTGTACCTTACTCATAGCTATATCTGTAAATACAATGTATACTATTTCATTGCCATTATGGCCATGGCAAAACACTGTCATTTCAATTTTGTTGTTTTATTTTCTTATAAAACCAGTAGGTAAGCCACACACATCCTATGCTTATTATTTCTAACTAAAGCCAGCACAGAGCAAAATATAATTTGGTTAATACTCACAGAAATGCATCTTAATCTAATTAATTATCCACATTGCAAAACCATAAATGGATTGTCCAACAGTGTAAGTAGCAGAGCACAAACAAAGAGCTTGGAAACCAGATTATCCATGAATATCCACCACAGACTGTGCATGAGGAGTGGGGAAAACAAGTTGTTCTTGTACAAGATGGAAAAGCAAATTAAAACTGTTTAGCAGTCCAGTTGCAGAAAATAGATGAAGATGTAAAGCACTTCTGTTACTTTATCTTCATCCTATTTCAGAACCTGTTTAGTTTATGTTATTCCCATCAAAAAACCTTCAGAACGTGCCATGTAGAAGACATTTTAAAACAGAAAAGTCTTGTTAGCTTGTGTTATCTGGAGTTTTGCCAGGAGGAGTGGATTCAGATATCTTTTCCTGCCAGAAAATCTTTAACTGTTTTCAGCATTTTTCTGCTTTGCTTCGTTGCAGGATTATGATCGCATAAAGATAATAGAAGGACGTCCTCTAATTTAATTTAAATTCTTAAAAAGCTACTGTGAGGAATCTTTGTCCTAAGCATAGCAGTTATTGATCATTACAGCTTGTTTTGACAACAGAATTTTCTGGTTTTTGTCAGATGGGAAAACTGTTTCTTAGATAAAGTGATATATAAACCTAAAAGACTGAGGGCCCAATCCTGTTCTTTCTATTAGGTGCCCAAGCATGATCTTATTTCATTTTGCTTGGTAACTGAAAAACTATCCACACAAATGGTGGGTGGCTCCTTTTCCTGTTTACTGCTTTTTGTGACTTACTATTAAGGCTAAGTGAGTTACAAAAGTAGATGCATTAATATTATTTCTTGGACCTTGAGTGGGGTAAAATGGGAGAGCACTTACACACCTATTTATCCCTAAGATACACAGAAGCTTTACTCTCAGAAGTTGTGAAGATATTAAGAGTTTTAAGTCTTACTTGATTCAGAAATTATTTTATACACTGCTTCAGTTGAAAGACTTTTAATTTAGGAAGGTCATACTTATTTGATGCGACATTTTCACCATCCTTTTCTCTCAATGGCTAGGAACAGACATTCAAAAAGCCTGAGCCTGAGTTGATTCAATCTTTGCAGGTTAATTTAACCTGGCTAGGCTAAATCAGTTGGTAACTGCACAGACATCCCAGACCTGCAGGCACATGCCTGCAGTGGCTCGGGATAGAAGCTGGGGGATGCTAGAGCAGCCCTCCCTCTCCTCTACACTGCTGAGCTGAGCAGGGTGTGGCTAGGTCCTGGTGGGACACTTTGATTATGGAGGAATTCCACCCCCCACTAGCCCAGCAGTGAATTGATAACACGCTGTTTATCTCCCTAACTCAGTGTTTATCACCCCATTAAGAAAAGAACAGAGGGACGTTGATTCTACCTGTTGATTCTGCCTTTGTCCCATCTGCCACAGCACGGACTGTAGGCAGCATGTGGTTTGCTAACTAGTGCTGTGTGTCTGTGTAAGGTAGAGGGGGTGATGGAATCCCTGCTTAGAGGGGAGGGGGGGAGCAGAAGCCAGGCAGACACCTG